TGCCAGGTCACCACGATCCCTTTGGGGAAGAAGCCGGTTGCGTGGCAGGTGACAGGAGAGGAGGGGTCCTTCTGCAGCAGAGACACCTCAGGGCGGACTTGGGGAGAAAGACAAAAACATCCATAAATAAAACGCTACACTTCATCACCAGCAATCCCTCCTGTAAATACATAATGTGATTAATATTCTATACATTGTAGCTACAGTATAAGCCTGCATCAGGACAGGGACAGCTGTGCATCCCCCCCACCGGCTGTATTTCTTAGTATTTCTGCCATCTAATATTGCTGATTATGAGAATCAGTCCAGGTGGGACGGCAGACAGAAGCACATGGGGGGGGATGGGAGGTGGGAGCAGAAGCTGAGAGGAACCTGACACTCAGTGTATCTGCTAAGCAGCACAGCCCCAGTCCCAGACCTGCTGTACTGTACCTGTCCTCTCCAGTGTGCACTTCCCGTAGCTCACATACTTCTTCAGCCAGTCAATGCACTCCTGGGTAAAGTAGCTTTTTATGTTTTCTAACTCAGCTCTGTTACTGTCCCACTTCTGTTTAGTGGGAATCGCCTGCATCACTGGAGCCACGTAAGTCATGGTTCTGAAGTCCAATGCAATGAAGTCACTCCCATCATAGCCATATTGATGAACAGCACCTGTGACCCCAATTTCATCATCCCACTCACAGCCGTACATCCACTGAACTGTGTGGATACCTGAACAGAAAGAGGAGAGAATTAGCCGGCAGGTTTGATACGGTTTCATCCTCTGGGCGTCATTTTCACAGCATTTCAAACAGGCCTGTCAGCAGCTCCTCACTCTCAGCATCCTGCATGTACACTGCAGCTTTCAGGCCTCCAGTAGTTTATCAGCAGTTAAACCTCTGTGAGATGCGCGATTCCTGGTGCACACTGTGTGTGCGTGAATCTGTGTGTCAGTGTGTGTGTGTGTGTGTGTGTGTGTGAGAGACTTTAGAGACGACCATCAGCTAAATAAACGCAGCCTGTAAATATAAGTACTATGGAATGTTACCCTATAACTGTGTGTTTGGCTCTGTGCTGCTTTAATATGTTCAGCGTGAGCAGAGCGTTCAGATGACAAACATGTCACACTGTCAGGGTCACTGTCATAAACATGCAGCACTTACCTCCGGTTTGGTTGAAACGCATCTTTGCAATTTCTATGTTGTTTTTGAACACCGGCTCTGTATTCATGGAGATCTGTGTCTGCTGGTCCCAGTAAGCTGCATACACAGCCTTTGCCATCCATTCCTGACGAGGAACCTCTCTGCGTATGTTACTGTCATAGTAAGTGAAGGGCTCCCCGTCCACCAGCCCTACGGTCATAAACTCTGGGAGGTTCGGAATCCCTGACGAACCGCTGTAGACATACTGCAGGGAGTGTGTGGCTGGGAAAACAAGACACACATTACAGTTATAGACACTGAATCACAATAATCACTCTACTTTTCTGATCATTTACATAAATTAATTTTGCAAGAATTTAACTTTTACTTAAAATTCAAGAATTGAAAGATTCAAGGTTTTCATTTGTCATATGCAATGAAATGCAAGGTGTCAACAAAACAAACATCAAAATTAACAATATAACAAACAGTCATAAATAAGTAAAGTTATACTCTAAAAAATAAATAGACCAAAGATGTGCAGCACCAATCAAATCAATTGTGAGATAAATAAGGAGAGAACATGAATTTGAAGAGTCAACTAAGTATTAAGCAGTGTGACGGCTTTGGGGGTAGGAGCTCCATCAGAGCCTCTCAGCTCTCAGTGAGCGATGGCAGAAGCCCTTTCCAGACCGCAGCCTGGTAACCATGCAGTTATATAATAATAATAATAATACATGATTTTCATTACACAACTCAAATTCCAAATGTAATGAATTTTATTTAAATAAACAAATATAATTTGAGAACCAGTGGCCATGTGTCTCTAATATCGGTAGTAAAAAAACTGAATTATTACCATTCTTTTAGTAATAACGCAAAAATGTCATGCTTAAAACATTCCTGGAATCTTCGATGTAGCATTCACAGTGCCCTCTACAGGACTCTGTCAAAACAACATCCCCTGAGGTGGCAGAGATCTTGTCTAAGAAGAACGTAACATAAGCCTCGAATACGACTTATATTAGGCCTAAGAAAACATTTTTTTCAGATATAAAATTAAACACTTTAAATCTAAAATATGCTTGCAACCGAATAATGACAACCAAGAAATGTCAGAAAGAAAAACCACAGACCAGAAGACTTTCACCTTAGAAATAACTAAGGTTCGTAAGTAAAATCAGATTAATTAGTACATACCTGCAAATATGGAGTCAATGCCAAACAAAATGAGTGTAAAAAGCAGAACTTTCTGCATGTTGCGTAAACTGAGGATTCCCAAGGCACCGAAGGATTTTGCAGCGGGATGTGCTTTTGTCGGAGCGAAAAAAGACATTTTTAACCAATAAAAATGAAGAGAAGAGATGACATCACAAATCGCTAGAAAGATTTAGAATGAAGAGGTTCCTAATCGAAACCATATAGTTAATATAGCTCAAGATGTTCTGGGAAATTGAGTTCAGTACATTACTGCACGATTGCCCGGCGAATGACGTATGAGCGGTTGTTTCAATGCAGTACTTACGCTAACAGTTTCATGCATGTCCTGATGTATTAGGGTGTT